AGTTGTTAATACGAGCCAGCTTCCCATAATAGACTAATATTAGTCTATTCCCTCTTATATACTATATACTCATATACTAGCTCATGACCTACGATAAAAGAAAACCTAGAAAGAATAAGCAATTTCATCTCAACTCAGCCTAGCTCTTCTAAATTGATTTTAATTCAATTCTTATTATATATATATATTCGATTTATCCCTCAAGCTTAAATTGACTAGATCTTCCACTATCATTATAATAATAATATTCCTTATTATTATAAAAGCTAACCTCCTAGAAAACTCAACATACAAATACACATGTAACAATCGCGTGGTTTGGTACTGCTAGCACCATTCCTACTTTTTAAACGAACGGACAGTGTCTGAATTATCTTCTATTGGTACTGTCTTCAGCAAATAGTTTTCTTTCAGTCCGGGAGTCGTTGAAATTAGACTTCAGGGGTCAACAAGGTTAGATTTGTTGCGATCTCTGGTCTCTAATTGGATTTATGTAAGTTATGCTGCAATCGCTACAACATTGGGAAGCCCGTACTTTTGACTAACACAAAAAATGAATAATAACTCCACACAATATGTCACATCTAATTCAATCTCAGTTTCAGGCCAATCGGCTCAACCAGGATACATTTTCATGTAGCATCGCATATAGTCATAAGCGTCGAAACGAGCCGATGTAACTTAAATTACCCAGCCGACCCACCCACTTCAACAAAAGCACGACGTAGGAATATATTAATAAGTCTATGATAGCAGATTACAGTGCAGTATACTTCAGCAGTTTTGCTTATAGCGGAGATTGGACCAGTTTCAAACGATTCCCCATGTTGTCATCTATGCTGGAAAATTTTCCCCTCATTGTTCTACTTTCCCATATCTGCTCCACCATGTAACTACAGTCTCTTGGATTCTTAATTCGTCTTCTTCAGCTAGCCTTATGATCTTCCATGTGCCCCTCTAGAAAGAAGGATCTGCAATTTATGAATATGAATTAGATTTATACTGCAGTGTCTCGCGATCGAAAATTAGCCGTTTTTTCTTCATCTACTAACACACTACAGTGTCTTGGTTTCTTCATTCATCTCTCCACATAACATTTTGATCTTCCAAGTGCTTCCTCTAGTTGAAAGACCTGTGATTTAAAGTCATGCTTTGAAGTCACACTGCAGTACCTGAGAGAACCAGGCGTTCTTCTGCCTGCTGAGTTCTAACCTTTCTTTGAAGATCAATTTGACTGTGATATCTCTGCATGGTTGTGTATCTGTGCAGTTTTTATGTGTTCTCCTGTTGATACAAAAAGCAGTAATTTATCACCTGTCGCGGGATTGATATATTCCAAAGGCATTAGGTGGCAGAGATTGTGCGGTTGTTAGTAATCAACTCACGTTCTAAATTCATAGCTTTTGAATAGCATTCTCTTCAAAATCTCGACTTTGTATGTCGCTGAATACAAATGAAACTCTGTCTGAATCATGGCTAAGTTGTGTTTATTTCCAATTGGAAAATTGCACATCGAAATATTCCGAGGGCTTAGTCGCATGGTCTTCTGGTTACCTATGAGGTATTCTCTTGGCCCTTCACATGGAAATATGCTCGTAGTCTGATCGGGACATAGATGTCGTTTCGGGTTTTTGCAATTACATATATGAATGCCCAATAGCATGGGAGAACAGCCTCTTACTATCTCCTTTTGCAGAGATAGCGGTGCCTGTCTTCAAGATGATTGGCTTTGAGAAACCTATTTTAAATTATCCGTAGCCTTCACGAGGACAGCATTGTTTTCCCTAGATACGGACCTGACAAACTGTTGTATAATTTCAAATCAAGTATTGATCTTCTTGAATTGAGCGAGTCAGTTAATCATAGGCAAAATAACGGAGGAGTTCATTCCGCCATCATACCTTTGGCTGAAGAACGAGGTAGACGTGGCCTATGGAATGTCCTTGTGGCTATATGTAGGTGAAGATATCTCATTATAAATAGGTCAAAGAAGTCCTTCTCATTGCATCAATTATCCTCAAAAAGACACAGCTCTCCTCTCTCATCAAATCATTGTCAACCTACTCAAAACACTCAAACCTTTTCTGACACTACATCTTCAAACCACTCAAAATGACAAACGCAACTTGGGACTACGACGGCCTAAGAGTCACCATGACGTCTACGTTTGACTGGCGTTGGAGTGACTCTGGTAGTGGTGGCAAAAGAAACGGTACATTTTTCCACCCGCGCGCTCAAGGAAACTTGTGCGCACTAGGAAGTTACGGTAATCCTGCCTACGGGGAGATCACAGGGAAAAAATCTGTGATCCTCGTTGGGCCAAGTCCCAACGCACCTGCTGGGCGTTCCCCAGCAGTTGCAAGACCAACGAGCTACACAAACATGTGGAGCGACAGTGGCTCTGGCGGAGCTAATGATGGTACCATGTGGCGACCTGTAGCTCCGTCTGGATACGTAGCAATGGGAGATGTCATGGCTTCAGGGTACGGAAAACAGCCCAGCCTTAACGACGTCTGGTGCTTGCGTTCAGATCTGACACGGCTGTCTACTTATGAGGCAAGTGACTTTTGGAACGACGGATCATCTGGAGCGGACCGTAATTGCTCAACATGGAAGATTGTCACCGAAACCAACGGTATCGATGGTTCCGAGTATCTTCCTATACCTCCTTACACCTTCCGTGTCTCGGCAAACTATGGCAGGCCCGATACGAGTTATGCCGTCGTGCCGCTTCTCCGAGTTCCCAATGCTTTTAAAAGATTTGACTTTGCTTTACCGACTGTTACGAAAACAACCATCCCTAGCACTGGCGACCAATTTGGCCAGCAAGAACAATGCTCTGCGGTGTTGCCTTTCATATTTTATCTTCCGAACGACAGCGCTTGGAATCTTGCTAGGATCTCTAAGCCTTTCTATACTGTCAGTCGGGAAATTGCGTGGAATGTTGAGGGGGTTTGGAACAATGACAGCGCAGGTGACTTCAATCGCTCGAAGACCATCAAATGGGGGATAAGCAAGACCCAAAGCGAAGAGATGGTGCACTCAGCTGGTGTTTCTGTCTCGGCTTCATACGGTATTAAAGGTTTCGAAAGTAGTGTTACACTCAATTACCAGTTCACTCAAACTACTTCAAAATCTTTTACCGAATACCAAGAAGGAGAAACCACCGAGTCATTCGTTGTTCCTGGAAAAACAGTGAAAGTCTTGTTCAGCAAGCATATCTGGTTGAAAGCTAAAGCTGGTGATGGTACCATGGCTAGTCAGGTAGAGATGGTTGCTAATAACGATATCCACTTTGGTGGTTGCGATCTGAGCTAAACCATTGCCATTGAGACGGCTGCAACATGATATCACGTGGAGATGGAACGAAATCTTTCTTTTCTTTGTCTGCATCTCATCTTCTTGGTATTGGATTCGTCTACTTGTTGTCCTGCAATTATTTTCACGATATGGAACCCCGCTAGTAAGGCCTTGAGACCTTAGGCTCAACAATGTACATCATACGGAACCTTTTGTCTTGGTCAGGTCAAAATCACGTAACGAATACCCGGTGAAAGATCATAGGGAGAAGGAACCATTCAACTGACCCAGAGAGAAGGAATATCCATGTGGTGATTTGAATTTTCCAAGTATGTAGAGCTTCGTGCTCAAGAACAATCATTACTTTCATAGTATAGCTACGACAATGCAGCAATCATTGCACTTACTCTTTGGTACTTTGAATATCCAAGTCACGGACAAAAACGTATCCCCAGTAAAATTTTGATATATTATTTGTTAAGACATGAAGTCCAGCACACAATGTCGGTCCGGTACTGTTAATAATCCTCCGTGTCGCAGTAGATTTCGCAGTGCCGGTATATTCTCCTTGGAGACCTAGAGTACACAGAAGTGACCGTAGAGAGGTAGTAGCGGTGGATATATCGACTAACAATGTGACGGGGCAGAAAAGACAAGTGCCAAGAAATTTGAGTTCGTAGGCCATCACCGAGTATGAAGAATACGAGGTTGATGAATAAAAGCAGAATCTGGAGCGAAATAGAATATTGCGTGATTTGATGTTGCGAGCCGGAACTTTTACCACATTTTAAAGAATTCCAGCTGCTTATAGATTCACTGAATTCAGATGATCCACCACAAGGAACTTTTCCATGTATTCATCAATTACAATCGTCGTACTTGCTATGCTTGCTCCTTGTCATGTAGTAGTCTCTCGTGGAAGCCCGATCAAACAGAAAGCAAAAAGAACACTGCAAGCAACGACAAAGACGTAAATCAGTGGCATCAAAGCATTTGAAGGGTATTCGGACGTGGCCGAGAGATATTGCACAGACGTGCTGAAGTTTAAGCTGGCCATAGTGATTGGATATTAGGCCTGGTAGAAGCTCTGTTGTGTATTGCCGTTTATAGCCTCAAGAGAACTGGTATTGCTATGGCGGAGTTGGCAAGGAAATCTGGGACAAGTCAGATGTAGATATGCTGAGTGCGGTAATAATAGTCATCGTGACTCTGGGCATCTTTGATATGAGCAATTTCTAGTTGCAGAAAAGGAGGAGTGAATGTGAAGGCCTAGACTACTCGGATCAATGAATTGTCAACATTGTGATCATATGAATTGTTTGTGCCCGTCAGCATCCTAAACATCCGGGTGCCAAGATTTTTAGTGACCGCATCTTCATTGATTCCTTCTATCAAATTTCCGGGGAACAATTCTTCATGTGATTGATTCCATCAGTACTTATTAGTGTGTTCAATTGCATTGGATAATGCAAGTGTTCCTTATTGAGGGCTTTGCTCTGAGATCAAGACTTATACTCACATGAAAAGTAAAGTGATCCTCACATTATAGTCTCCGCTGCTTCCATGATCAAGGTGTTCAAGTTTTTAACATGGAAATCTTCAAGAACTGTTCGCCACAGGCCGTTCCTAAAAGCTAGACGATTATAATCGCAATATATGATTCACAAAATTAGAGAGCGAGACCTCGAGCATATGTATTGTGCAGAGATGCAAAGTTTTTTTTTGTTTTTGGAACTTTTATGGGAAACGAAAATGATGAACGGTAGCTTGAATCGTGAGGTTATAGGACCGTGTCTACATAAAATAGGATACGCCTGACTCCGAAACATAAATTCCGATTTTCCGCGAAGGGCCTCAGTTCTGGGAGACTTTCCCAAGTAAACTGAATGTTTCCCACCTCATTCCCTCGCCATCTTCGACCCCTTCTGCATCCCATCTAGCCCAACCGCCATCTTCATAGTGTGGTTCAGCAACTTTACTCCAACCACGTATAAGAGCTCTCCAATAACAAGCCTCAGAAGCTGGAGATAAGTATCTTGTGAACAGTTCTCTTTGTCTTTTAGCAATACCAGTAGCTATCTCAGGGTGGTTCCGCAAGTACATGATTGTTTCCTCAAGGTCTGACCAGTCGGGTTCAACGAATATGATGTTCGCTTCATTTAGTCCGTAGGTGTTGGGCCAACGAGTTGTCCAGTCATATTGGAATTTTGCAGACACTTCACGCGCCGGGAGGAATGTTTTTGAAAATATGGGACGTACAAAGTGTGTTTGGTGAAGTAAATAAGTCGGTGGTGGTGTGAGAATAACGGAAGCGCACGCCTGATGGAAAAGTAGACGCCCAGAGTAGGTTATGCCCTCCGTGTAAACAATATATTTGTACTTGCAAAAATCTTCTATCCCGATAGCATTTTTGGCACTGTCGCCGTTTGTGGTCCAATTAAGAGCTTCTATATCTGCCCATTCTTTATCTTTACCCTTCAGAATCAAGCTTGGCCGCGAGTCCTTGTTACCGACGGTATTGAACCATCCCGTTCCTCTCCAAACCGCTTTGTCGATTTTCTCGGTCCAATGCTTATCCATCTCTATACGATCAATCTTGGACATAGCTTGATCGACGGTTCCAATAAAGGAAACCGGCCACGACCAAAAACTGAAGTGCGGCATAACCCAGTAATTTCCGTTTTCAATTTTAGGGTCGTTCGATCTTGAGAATGCCCATGAATTATTCATTGGAGTATCGAGTATATTGAACGCGAAAATAGTGTTCGGAAGAGGCGAAGGAGAAGTAGTAACGGCACGGTGAATTTGGTGTAAGACTGAAGTTCGCTCCTATGATATAGAGATCAGAATCTTGTGGCAATTACCAGGAAGAAGAGGTGACGAACCTGGAGCATATTCCGGGACGGGTTGGGGTCCGCAGAAATGATGAACACCTGGATTTACCAGTCAACATAGTTTGTAAGATAGATGGTTTGATGGTCAAATAGAACCTTTCCATCCTTTATTCTCCCTTGCACAAGCCCGGTATGGTGATCCGGCTGTCTCTTCAGAGGAAATGGTCCTCGAGCCACTGCATCATCAATCTCTTTCGTCAAGCCTGGAAAAGTTGCGTGGCATTGGTCTTCTGTCAGTGAAAGTGACTGGAGGATGTCTGCAGAAGGCTTCTGCTCATTGTCCGAAAACTGAAGGATTGATGATTGTAAATTCGTAGACTGTTTATCATATAGGTAAACGCAAACAAGCACAATCAAGAGAAATATGCCAATATGACTGGGGCTTCTGAGACGGTACGCCATTGCCTCATGATAGGCCAACAAAGACTCAATAGATCGCGAAAGTAATTCATCAAGATCTCAATACTTAAGACGTTTCGTTTCACATTGAAGAACAAGGTTGGCACGGTAAACAGGACCTCGCGCCGATAAGCCTATTCAATGGTAAAATGCGACGGTTCAAACCGCGTAGTGTTGTGAATGATTCTGCCAAGTGACATACTGAATACTCTGGACTTACCGTACCGTTCTATACCATACGCATTTTTAGTACTAGAAAATGATGATTTCTGGAGGAGCTCAGATAAAAGACAAGACGATGTCGACAGAATTTACACATAGCCTTATGAGTTCCACAGGTATCATTAGGCGTTTGATGAGACTTGTGGGTACAGAGTACGGTACCCGAATACCATCAAGTATAATGTATCGCACGTGACTGGTAGCAACATCTTCGAGATGAAGCCAATTCGGGGTGCAACGTTAACATGCATCCCTTGGATGGTGTCCTCGACACTATATTCCAATTCCAAATAACCATGTAAATCAAGGCTAGAGAGCTAACTTGAAGGTTCTGATGCATACCATTGAATTACAATTTCTCGGAAATCAACCACTACAAATCGTTAGCCTGAATAGCTCAACCGATTTTCTACACACGGATTCGCTTTTTCAACCTCGCGGGCACCTTGTCCATACCTTAGAGCGGCTACTGTATTCGAGAATATCACCGTGAATATGCTTAGCGAGACATGTCTTCAGTTCATCATATTCAGCTCCAACGATCACGTACAATTCAACTCCCAAATTGCAGGTCCGATGTTACATAGCCCAGTGCCAATCCCTTATCAGTGAATGTAACATTTCAAATTTACGGGAACACCTACTTCTATGACCCTAGGACTCTATGGCTAGCTTATGTTCTTTAAATATCGTTTGCCGCTCTGACGGTTGTCACAGATTGCATATCGATATGGTTAAATGGGGGTTCCTACGATGCTAACTTCTCCACTGTTCTGCGTATGTGTCGAGTTGATATGGATGCCATTGCATCAGATCCTAACAAAGATCCGGGGAAACGGAGCTCTTGTGAAGATAGCGGAGGTGAACCATTACCAAAATATTTGGCAGAGACAGTCGTTCGTCTGCATACCCGTCATCAAAACCTCTAGACGGATTTCCCTGAACCACCAGGAGGGAGGCATCCTCGAGCCAAGTCCCGAGATCATAAATTCTACTCTGTTGGAATCGGGCGGCTATAACATAGAGGGACTTGATCAGGTCAGATTGATCTTAGCTTCCGAAATGATGCCCTACCTAGACATCCCACATGAAAGATTACTCTGAGACCTCTCTGGATCCGAGGTTCTCTTGCTCTATCATGAATTTACTTCTTATACAGAAAACCTGCCTGATTTCCCGCGATTCCTTCGTGGCCCATTCATTGAATCCTGTTGCACATCTTTATTATTGAGATTAGCTCACGAATTTGCGACAAATTACCCTTATACCCTGCAGATTCTCGCGTATCCATTTCCAAATGCTATTTGTTTTATCAAATTCATTCCAAGATTTTTTGTTCACTTACTTCTCATTTCCATTTTCTTAGAATTAGAGCCTTGAAGTATACCAACTTGATCATGTGATGCAACTGTGTTCTTTATTTCGTCTCATCACCTCCCAAACTATACACAAACGAGAAGATTCATATGATGATGCAATGCCTCATATATGATAGACTTGCTAATATTAACAAAAGAAAGAAGAGAAGATGAGCTAAAGAAACAAGTTTTTGTGTGAAATACGCCTAATACTATGCATGTTTGACCCTGTGAAACATCCCTTGAATATTCTTACATTTTACAATACTCTTGTTTTCCTACGGCACTCAGAAGTTCAAAATTCAGCCCCTCTATCTCCTCGGTCTTTTGTCATGACCACCTTCCCTCATACTATCTTGATCGCTTCTTCTCTTCCTGCCACTACCTCCGTCTTCCCGCATACCTCGTCCATCACGTTCACTTCTATCAGATCTGTCCGATCGTTGGTTCCGTCGGTCTCCTCCCCTATCCACTCCTCTGTTATCAGGGGGACCTGACCAGTTACCACCACCAATATTGCCATCATGCTGATCACGTTGAGAATCGCGATCTCCGCCATGCGCATCTCGACGACTACTATCTCTATCGCGATGCTCTCTTTCTCCCCTTCCACCGCCGGCTAACAAGTCCCTGCTAGCAGAAGGATCCCCTCTGGAGTGCCTGTCTGAATCTCTGGACTCTCTATCGCCTCCGCGAATCCTGTGTTCACTCCTGGATGATCGTTCATCTTCTGGTGGGCCACCACGCTTCTGGTCCCTATTCCGATCACTAGGTGAAGTCCGACGACTGCGCGTGGATCGATCATTCCTTGAACCACGTCCTCCTCGATCACCACGTTCGCGATCGTCATTGCTCGATGCGGGATTTCCAATTAAATCAGCACGAGCAGGATTTATCAAGTCTCTTCCAGAATCCCTAGCTTGTGCGGGGGGTGGACCCGGTGGAGGAGGTGGTGGAGGCGGGAGAATTGGTGTAGGGGGACCAGAAATTGGAGTTTGAGGTTGACCTCCCTGACGTCTTCCGCGACGTTCTTGACCTTGCGGATGCTTGGTTTCTTCAAGCATACGGTTGATATTGTTGATTAAATTCGGCTGTCTTGCACCACGTGGTGGGCGCTCATTTGATGATGCAGGTCCAGTTGGGGCACCATTCATTCGAGAAACAGGACTGTTTTGAGCTTGAGATTTGGGGCCGAGAGGAGCAACTTGTGTTTGAAGAGGTGGTGCAGTCGGTCTTGAACGCGCGTTATCTTGATGAGAAGGTGGGATGTTTGCCGTGGCTGCTTGACCGCCAAAGCTCCTTACTCTATCTGGATGCATACCGCTAGGAGCGACTGTAGCAGCCGGTGGTGCTTGCATAGGTGACTGAGTGGCTTGTGGACCTAAGTGTTTCAATCGATCAGGATGGACTCCTGATGTTGGTGTCGATGCAGTGGTAGTGTGTACAGGCGCCGTTGGTTCAATCTGACCTGGGCCTAAGCGTCGCGGATGCCGTCCACCAGAAGGACCTGTGGGAGGTTGTTTATCTGGACTTGGTGGCCGAGGAATGTCAAGTGCAGGAGCATTGGCCAATCTTCCATCACGTCGCCCTTGCGGTGCACTCGCCATCCTATTATTGCCACGATTTCTATCACGAGGCCCAGATGGGATGTCTGGTTGCTGATTCAAGCGACCGAAGTTCGGATCTACTTGTGATCTATTTAGTCTGCCATGATCGGGGTCCACAGGACGGGGAGGAGGTTGGGATTGTTGAAAAGGAGGATTATCCCTTGATCTATCTTGAGGAGGGACTCGGTCGCTGGCTCGATCAGCTGGCCTCTCTCCTCTTGGACCAGCTGGTGGCGGTGCAACTTCGTCAGCACGACCTCTTGAAGTATTTTGTGGATCCATGGTTGTGTTTCGATTCGATCTGTCATCGCGCCTTGGATGTTGATGATCCTTTTCGGAATCATGTCGTCTTGGAGGTGGTGAATTTTGTCTCGAAGGCCGTTCTCTTGTGTCATCTCTGGGTCGACGAGGAGAATCAGCGCGAGATGACTCATTACCACTGGATATTAGAGCGGCCCGTTCAGGATTGATTAACTCTTGCCTATCTGGGTTCACTAGTGCTAATCTATCGGGATTGATTGCTGGGCCACGATCTGATGTAGACGATGCTTTCGGTGGGGAAATTGCTGCTTCACGAGACAAGCGACCGCCGTTATCTGGAGTCCGATACCCATTGGATGAAGCCCGATCCGTAGTATCTCTTCCTGATTCATTGTTCCATCTCGGATTCGAATCTGCTCGTGGACGTTCACGTTCACTGTTTGATGCACGATCGGTGTTTCTGAAATCTCTTGGTGGGGTATCCATACCCCTTCTGTCGCCCGGGGGAAAGTCACGACCGCGATCCCTGGTTCTATCCCGGACCAGCTCTGTAACTCTGGGATCTCTCATGTCTCGTCTATCGTCATTCCTAGCGGAATGACGATCCATCATTTGGCGACCAGGGATGGGGGCATCAGGCCTATTGGGTAGATTATGATTTGCTGGCATGTTTCTCCCCAATTCAGGTCTTGCAGGTATGGTAGCAGGTGCTGGATTTGGAGCCGAAGCTCTAGCTGCATTTTCACGCAAGATTCTCTCGCGTCTCAGTAATATCTCGGACTTCCTCCCTTCACCGGGTGCCGACGATGCTTTATCCTTGACACTAGAATTATCAGACGCCTCCTTCAAGATGTTGCCATTGCCAGCTGCAGAAGCCAGTTTTGCATCATCAACTTCACCGTCTTCGACCTCAGTGGTGAAGTTTTTTGGGGTAGAGGCTCCCGTAGAGCTTATAGAAGTTAGATTAAGGTATGTAGATTGAAGTATGTGCACTTACTTAGCTCGGGATTGGGGTTTGAACTCAGGAGCTGTGGGCTTCAAAGTTGTTTTGACAGCAGGTCCTTGCTTAGAGGCATCTATTGGGGGGCTGTTATTCGCTTGCACAGGGGCCTCCTATAGGTGGTTAGTCTTATTCGGTACCGATTTCAGTTTTCACTTACCAGACTATAACCAAAGGCCTGTACCATCACCCATGACTTGGACTTCTTCTTTAGCTGCACCAGGATGGCATTACCAGCAAGAGAAAGATCCTCTCGTGCACCCTTCTCCCGGGCGACAATTGTCTCGAGCTGTTTCACAAAACTGTTGCCCATGAAGTTGACCGCTGGGAATACGTCGACAACGGATTTAAGAATAGTCATAGCGTTTCGAACATGCATCCACTCCGTTCCGTCGAAACATTCACGTAGTGCCACATTCAGCTTCTGGTGCCACGAGTACAGAATATTTTTGAAACCACGGTCACCGTCATGCTCAAGGAGGCCCTTTACGGTCCCATCTGCATCAATAGCCTTAGCAAAACCTGGAAGATTCTTACTTGCTCCCCACGCTTCTTTTTCGTATACTCCCTGATCACCATGCCAGCGGGCCAGATCCGTCAAGACTAATCTCAAGAAACGACCCAAGTTCTCCGCCTCACGAACCGTAGATGTAAAGATCATTGACCTCAAGCGATTTGATCTGAAAAGCCTGGAATATAGCGAAAGGGTGCGGAAGTTGGGCGTACCATTCTCATGTAAGAACTTAATCATCCGGAAGGAGAAGTCTGCATCGCTTGGAGAGAGCAATAATCTTGGAAACAAGCATCTTTCAAGAAAGGAGTCGCTAACTAGATCGCCCTTCACGTTGCTAAACCATAAGTTTTTGCGTTTTAGCAGACGGCTCTTCTTCCCTGAGAAAGCCCCGACTTGTTTGCCAAACTCTGCCAGCAAATTTTCCCTGGTTGTTGCCAGAGCCTTTTTAGTTTCTTCTTTTCTTGCCATTCCGGCCCTACTCATGTCTGAACGGTCCTTCATTACATCACCTTGTTCTTTAAGTAGACGGGAGATTTCGGCTTCGTAGCTATGACTAGGAATAGCCAGGTCGCTCAATGTAGAGCTCCAAAATACAACGTAGAATTCAGAAGTGAGAAATGCCCAAGAGCCTTCAGGCAGGACCTCCTCAACAGTAGTGATATACGGTTGAAGTAAATCATGGAGCGAATCCGTTTCTGTTGCTGCTGTTTCCGATGGCGAATCTCCCCCCTTTACATCTGACATCTGTACGTCTTCCTGCGGGGCAGCTGTTCCATTTACTGCTATCGATTCCTTGACCTCAGGGTTTGGATCATCGCCGTTCATACCCACATCACCTTCTGCATCTACTTCTGTGGCTACTGCCTCAACTAATGATGGTGAAGACTTCGAATTTCCATTGGCATTTGAGGATAGTAACTTGCTGACGCGATGTGAGATACTTGGACGACCGATCATAAAAGCAAGTGTTGGGTCTAAGCCAAAATCTTTCATGAGTTCGGAAATTCCTGGGACGAGATCATCGAACTCCTCTACTGAAAGGTTGCTGCGAAGAAGATCAAGATATTGGAAAAGAATCATTTGAGTATCATCAATCATCGTAGCTAATAGTTTGATAGGAGCCTCATCATCGGAGACGTTATAGATGGCCGATTGTCTGTGCTGTGCAATGGACAGCAAAAGTTGACCACCCAACTTGGTGTCAGTCAAACCTCTCATAAGTCGCTTTGCTGTCTTCAGAGATTCGTAACGTTTATCTTGGAGGTTGATTAATGTCTGGCGCCTTAGAAGCTCGCCTCCAGTCATGGCAGCGAGTTGAGAATCGGTAAAATCGGTTTCAGGCACAATTCCAGACATTTGTGAGATGAGCTCCTTAAGAATGACCAAGTCGGTTGAGTTTCCCCGGTGAAGTTGATCGTTGACGTACTGGATGAGGGGAATTAAGTTCATTATAGAATATCGCCTAAAGACTTTGCCAGAAAATCTTGACAGTGCTAGAAGCCATCTACTTGGGAGAAGTGCAAATTCAGCATCGTTTCGATTCCTGTCCTTTCCTCCTAGTGAGCTCAATAGCGACCAAACGAGAACGTCGTATCCTAGGTCAGTGAAATATTTACCACACTCCACAACAACTTCCGTAAGATTGGTATATGCTTCGATCTGGCCCAGAGCCACACTAAATACTATGCCCGGCGATGCGTAGGCAATCTTGGCCAGAGCTCGTGCCATCACAGTAAGATTGGTCATACTAATCCTTTTCATAGTACTAATCGTCTCGGATTTGGTTTTGGCGAATGCAGCTCTCATCGGTGGTAATCGAGAGATCTGGCCCTCAAACCACTCTGCGTAGATAGAATATCTGATAGATAAAGGATAAAAGCGAAGCATACCATACACTTCATTGACAATACTTGTATTCGCTTTAGTTAAGCTCAGTGCAGGAACAAGGAGACGCTTGAGCAGATCTTGCCATCGGTCAAAATTTTGTGTTGAACGATCTTCTGCAAGACTTTGTGTACCAATCCTGGCTAACTTTGACAATAAACTAGCGTCTCTGCCAATGTTAACACCAGAATAGTTAAGTAAAGATCCGCAAAGAGTGAATATATCATCCACGGTCTGGCAGACAGGCACATTATCTGCCCACTCATCCCAGTAGAATCTATATGCATTGTTGTCATTTGTGTCGAATTTATCTGGGAAAGGCCATCGTAATTGCTTCCGAGGAGGCAGTGCGAGTAAACGGATTGAGCCCTTGGGCATACCGGTTTGGTCGGGATCTAAAACCTTCTTACTTGGACAGTCTGGTACTGCTGATGTGGATGGTCGACTTAAATCGAAAACATGCTGAATGGAATGATTTAAGATACGATGAATCAAATCGAGAAGTTCCGGGTAAGCTTCTGGCAGCCAAGGGAATCGTCCAAGAATGAACAGAGATTCGGGAATTGCTCCGATCGTCAGAAGACAGGTTAGAAGCTGCACCTTTTGGTCCGAAGGTTCATTCAGCTTGTCTTTATCATCAACCTCGGTTGTCGGTTTGCCAGATCCATCAGACTTGGTAGCTGCGGTATCACGAGTTCGCCCCCCGTTCGGCAAAGTATCATCTACCAAAGCTCCAGCCATCATCAATGCATTCATTGTGCCTCCACGACTAGCCTTCTCTTTCTCCTCGATTTCCTTCATCTTAGCATCACGAACGGATTCCATGTCTTCGTCTAGAGGCCACAGATGAGGGTATAGGTCCTTGAGGGAGATGAACCCAATCTTGATCAGCAAAGCTGTCAGATAAATCAAATTCGCAGGCAACACGTCTTCATTGTCTCGGGCTGCTGAGGCGTAGAAACGTAGTTTGAATCCAAGCAACTGAGCTGCTGTTCGATTTCCAGAAGGTGGATAAGTTCCCGTTGCTTTAATCCATTGATAATCTTCATCAAGCTTTGCATCATCCTCTTCGAGAAGTCGTTGCTTCGTCTCTGCATCTACAGGCTGGCAACCTCCGAGCTCGAAAAACGCTTCAATACCAACATCACGAGCCCGACCCCAGAAAAGTTTGTCACGCTCCAGCCGTTGACTCGTGGCAAGTTCTTCCTCTTCGTCAGTTGAAGTCCAACCAGGAGCGCTGGGTAGCGCCCACGGTGGAAGACCACCACATCGAGGTATCTTGTCGAATTCGCCGCTTCTCGGCCACCAAGAGCTAACACGGAGAAACTTTATGAAGAAACGAAATTGTTTGATTAGAACAGCCGCAAACACATCCAACGTGATATCGAGCACTCTTCCCACATCGAGATCAAAGGTTCCTATCAGGCCTTTCACTTTCTCGAAGGCATCTTCAACAACCTCACTAGAAGGAGGCTCACTCCCACTAGTTGTGAAAAGCTCTGTAACTAATTTCGAATATCCTTCCGTCTCCTCCCTCAAAAGATTGTAGTTTGCCTGTCGGTAGAGAAGATGAGTAGCTTGTCGAATTCCCATGCGTGTAAAGGTGTCTCTCGTGAGTCCGAGGTTCAATAAAAGAGTGGCATCCAATTTCTGTCGCATTACCATGGCGGATATGCCTGTGGAGAAACGAATGTGCGAAGTGCACTATTGGGTGTTTTGAGATCTTCTAGTTCAAACATCATGGACAGAGAGTCAAGGAACAAAGCTTGCGGTTCCAGGGTGCCTGGGACGTTGTCTACCGGCGATGTGTCTGGTCCCAATATTTCTTTGATGCAATTGCCCGCATCAGCGCCATCAATGCGACCATCGAGGGTAGCGCGAATGAATTCTTGAAACACAGTTGCCAAATCCATTGTATCTTCATCCTGACGAGTTTGGATGCCCTTTTCTACCACTTCTTGTCGGCCATTTGATGTCCATGAAGACATTTGATCGTCGGTAAGGAAAACGTAATCGAACGGAGCAGGGTCTGGGTTCCAACTAGGACTGATCATATCGTTCGTGTTCATTGGGGTTGGAGTTTGCGCTGGAGTCGTGTGAGAAGCGCTCGAAGGTCTGGGAGGTGGAGACATTGGTCCTGGTGTTGGGGTGGCTCTGGTAGCTATCGAGAGGTTACTAGGGTTGCTCGCATTGCTTGAAGTGTTTGAATTATTTGAATTATTCGAACTGCGACCATCATTTCTACGTCCTCTACCTCCGCCTTGATTACCTTGACCTCCTCTGCTGCTCCTTCTGTTACCGCCCTCGCGCATACCAAATTCTCTTTCCTGCTGACCTAAAGAAGTATTTCCCGGTCGATGAGGTGAAGGTCGAGGCTCACCCTGGTCTACGGAATTTCTATCATTCCTCTTTCGCTTCCCTGCTGGAGCCATCTCCAAGTCTATCGATAAAGCTCAACGATCTGCGTACATGTGTGTCGAAATGCTGGGAATAGCAAAGAATTGTATGCGATAATGCGATCGATGTGATTTGTGTTTCTGTCGAATTCGAAGTCGTCGAATAATTAAACAACTTTGAAATAAATCACAAGTTATCCGCGACAATGAAATTATGAGTTACGCAGATTTTGTATTCGACTTTGTAGTAATATTGTCAATTGTTAATATTTAGTCAGAGACATCTTCAAAATCCTTAAGCAATGAAAGGTTTCCCGCGTTCGCGTGAGAGAGAAATACACTAAGCTCTATTAATGTGTAGTCAGATTATACTTGACTTTGAGCCACAATAAAGCCACAATGGCGGTTCACTCTACTTTCAGCCTCATCAAAAGAACCTTGGAATCCACCTGGGCATCCATGGATAGGTAGAAGCTGGAGCACTATGAAAGCGGAACTGTGAGCTAGCTACGGTCGGTATCTTCCCGTTTTCCTTATCAATGCTCCAATGTTGACTAACAACAGCATAAATGGTTTTTGTTCCGTTCTCCGATCGTGAAAGAACCCTTCAAAGTTTTCTTACTTGCCAAATCAATTGTGACTGGCTGTTGATGACGTTTTTTCAAACAGCCCCTCCTCCTTCAATGACTCAAGCAAGCAAGTCTTGTATAATAATCTAAATTTCTTCTATTCCTTGTTCAGTATCTAGCTATTCTTTCGACAAATATTCAATAACAAAATGGCAGCTTCATCTCAATCTACTGATTCTGCGGGAACAGAACCCAATGCACTAAGATACGGTCAGTAGTTACATCTTCAATGATTTGCCAAAAAAAAACATTAAACAATTACCCCTCAATTCTTGGGAGAAGCAGTGACTGAATACTACAAGAAAGAACGCAGCAACAACCCGAGAACCCATTTGCATCCCTCATACCCGACCAAACTATCGCCATCATCCCATCCTTCACGTTAGAGTCCGGCGAAACTTTACACAACGTTCCGTTGGCATACAGCACCAGAGGAAAACTTTCACCTAATCGCGATAATGCCATGGTAATATGCCATGCCTTGACTGGCAGTGCAGATGTCAGCGATTGGTGGGGACCTCTTCTAGGCGGGCCTGGTCGAGCATTTGATATATCCAGATTCTTCGTGATATGTATGAACAGTTTGGGAAGCCCGTACGGGAGCGCGAGTCCTGTCACTTGCAAGAATGGCGACCCAAAAAATGAAAGATATGGCCCTGAATTCCCTTTGACAACTATTCGAGATGATGTCAAGTATGTCAGCAATTTTCAATATGCCTAGTACAACACTGACTGGCATTAGCATTCACAAACTTCTCTTGGACGAGTTAGGAGTTCGACAGGTAGCGGCGGTCATAGGAGGTTCTATGGGAGGTATGCTGGTACTTGAATGGGCATACTTTGGCAAGGATTATGTTAGAGCCATTGTGCCAATCGCAACCTCTAGCAGACATAGTGCTTGGGGAATTAGTTGGGGAGAAGCCCAAAGGCAAAGCATCTATGCGGATCCAAAGTACGATGACGGCTATTACCCATTCTCGGATCCTCCAACAGCAGGGCTGGGTGCGGCACGCATGTCTGCGTTGCTTACGTATCGGAGTCGAAACTCATTCGAGGCAAGGTTTGGACGAAATACACCTGATGCTTCAAAAAAACAGACCATAAGCGAAAGCCAACAATCCGCCACAGCATCGGATATTCACAGGGCAATTCACAATGATGGACACAGACAGACTAGATCCCCAATATCTTCGAGACCTGGAAGCTCAGCTGCCATTTCGACCATGACCAGTGAAAATATTACTGCCAATGGTGGTAACCCTGCAAACTTCACTGACCCGCAATTTCACGGCGCAACTCCTTCATCATCCCCACCACCAGACCGACCTGTTCCTAAGCGCAAGTCAACCTCTCATTACTTTTCCGCGCAATCCTATCTTCGTTATCAAGGTGAAAAATTCGTCAAACGTTTTGATGGCAACTGTTATATTGCTATCACCCGCAAACTTGATACTCATGATGTCTCAAGATATCGAGTGCCGGCAGATTCAGCGGACCCTATTGCTGAAGCTCTTTCACAAATTCAACAGCCAACGTTGGTACTTGGTATTGAGAGTGATGGACTCTTCACGTTCGATGAGCAGAAAGAGATCGCAGCTTCAGTCCCGAATGCACGTCTTAGGAAGATTGAATCGCCTGAAGGCCATGATGCATTCTTGTTACAGTTTGAACAAGTCAATCAACACATCCTGGAATTCTTGAATGAAGTTTTACCCGATATTATGGGAGCTCCTGGCATTGAAGGAGTTGTAGCTGAAGACGGAGTGGGGGCTGTTACCAAAAGCAGTACCTTTGGAGAGGCAGAAGTGGATGACATTACAGCATGGTAAATGGGAAGTGTTACTGAAAGTGTACATAACATTTACGGGCTCCTGCTTTTGAGTTTCACCGGTATCCAAATATGATACTCCACGGTCAGTCTCTTTTCTCTTCACTTATCGTTCAATATTCCTTTGACTTCATATGATGAAATATTTCGGATGTTAAATCATTATATCTCCGAGAGCGCAAAACCGTGTGGAGATTTTCCGTTGCCTTCCTTCTGATTTTCTTTTCACCTTGTATTGAATTTACATTTCAACGGGGTAGTACAGGTTGCTGACCATGTCACAGTGCCGATTTGACGATATGAATGTGCTCGTCATAGACACAAATAACCCATGATAGCAACCAAATCAATAATCATCAAACTCCCCCGATCGTGACTAAAATTGTGCCATACGCGAATTATTCTGTGATCTCTCTCAAAGTCCACATTTGTCCAAGCGGTGAAATATAGTGGTGTACGTATACCATGAATACCTATGATATCAAGAGTCTCCCCCCTATCTGTATCTGTATTCGTATTCGTGTTAGACATTCTTCAAGGGTTCTTCCCGTCGTGGGGAGTGAAGCTATTTTGGTTGAGTATGTATCTGGTATCTATAATAGATAGGAACCTTATTGATTTATTGTGTGTGTAGAAGTGTAGAAGTGTAGGTGTCTAGCATTGAGTGAGTGATATCAATATCAATACCTATTTTGATGTTTGGGTGAACCTTGGAATGAATTAAGAGCTCGCGAGTTCCTAGGTAGGTAAGCTTTTTCAAGCTTTTGGGCTTGGTAGGTATTAGGTATTAGGTATTAGGTATTAGGTATTAGGTACTAGGTACTAGGTACTAGGTAGGAGGTAGATAGGAGGTAGGTAGGAGGCTGAGGGAGATAGGTATGAGGCTGAGGGAGATAGGTAAATCATAAAGTACAGCTTACTTGTCTATCTATCTATCTATTTTTCTATCTATTTAGTATTCACGGATTATTATCTTGTAGTAGATATAATATGATATGATATTTATCAGATAGATACTAGATATCTAGTAGATAGCTCTCGAATATCGATTACGCTTATGGATTAAGCTTATAGATTTAATATTGTATTAGTACGAGGAGAAGAGAAGAGACTAAATAATTGTTTATATATTTTCACTTCCTACTAAGTTATTAATCTATCTAGATATTAATTATTAATTAGATTTCTTTTCTTTTCTCTATTAATAATTATACGAACTTATAGAATAATATAATATTAAATTATAATTTTATATTAAAAGAGTTATTTTAACAATTTAATTGAAATTCGAAAGTCAATTTTGTATTATTTAAATGAATATATTATATTTTGTTGAATGTTAAAAAATAAATTATCTAAAAAAAATTAAGTTTAAAAATTTAAAAATTAAATAATTCAATAATAAACACTCTTATTAAAAAATTTAGATAGAAAATTATATATTCTATTATCAAAACTTTAATTTTTATTATTTTGATTTAAGTTTTTTAATAAAGAATATTTATATATAAGAATTGTAAATCTCAATTTCAAAAAGAAAAACGAACTCTAATTTTAATTGAATTGTTAAAACTACTAGGTACTCTTTTGATATTATCACGAGAGAATATGCCTATATAAACCCAATTAGCTTAATGCTATCGGTGATATCACTTTTAGCGTGATAGATATAAAATTATATTTTTTTCTCGAGTGTTTTTTAAGTTAGTATATCTACTAGTGCTCTACTATTTATCATTTCTTCTCTCTCTTTCTCTTATATTCTATTTACTCTCTTTCGTTTTAGAGCGTGATCTATTTTGGATTTTTGGATTTTTGAATTATATAGAGTAATTGTAATATTATAGTATTATAGTATTGATCTTGATCTTGATTTTTATCTTGATTATTTGAGTAGATATGTTAGGTGATATCAAGCTTTCGTATTATATCTTTCATTTACACGATTGATTAATTAAGAAATAAGGTTCGAGTGGCTTGGACTTCGATTACGAAGACCTCGTGGTTGGATCTTGGTCTGGGGGAGATGATAGGGTGGTTCGTATTACTGTTGTGTTTGTTGTATGTATACCTAGTACTCGTGCGCCGTTGATGTTGTATGTTGTATGTTGTATGTATGTATATCTAATCTCTTTTGATAGAAATATATAGTTTGTGAAAGGGATGTTTGCAGATTAATTGTAGGTTATAGGTTATAGTTCATAGATATATTGCGAGAATTATCGGTATATAAGGATTGCGATGGATTTACTAGGGAGCTATGTCTGCACATTCAGATCATCTGATGATGATAATGATTGGAGCTTGGATATATCGTAGTGTAGTGGCATCAATCAATAGTATATGAGGGCATGTCTTTGATGATTGCCGGGCTGAAATTTAAGCGTATTTTCTTATCAAAATTATGCTTTATTCTATATATTTATAAATATATAATAATTCAAATATTTATTATAAAACTTTGAAATTTGAAAAGTATAGAGGGATTTAATTAATAATTAATTTGATATTAGAATTATTAATTTTTGAATTAAATTGATAATAAAATTCTAGATAGAAATTGGTTCTTAAAATAAGTA